GGGCTTCGTGAGGGCGCTGAGGGAGCGCGCGGGCGCGTCTCGCTGGTGTCGTTGCATTTTAATCTTTCTTGGATGCGTTTCCACCGCTGTTCATGTTCCTGATAGCCATAAGGACCTGGCACAGGTTGCCCAGAGAACCTGTAGCTGCCCCTGGGTCTCTGGAAGTGTCCAAGGCCAGGTTGGACAGGGCTTGGAGCAACCTGGGCTAGTGGAAGGTGTCCCTGCCCATGGCAGGGGGTTGGAATGAGATGACCTGTAAGGTCCCTTCCAACGCAAGCCATTCTGTGATTCCATGATAAAACACGGAGATGGATGTGAGCCTTCCGTCCTAGCACATAACAGAGCAAGAACGTGCTTGAGCAGGTGCCCTGCAGAGTTTTGGGATGACCATTTTGTGTGCAGAAAACAGGACTTTCTAACGGCGGAAAATGAGCAGTGTTTGCTCTCTTAAACCATGGTCTTAATGCCAAATGTTCTTTTCGTGGTCCTGTTTTCTGTTCTTCTGTGCAAATAGGTGTTAGGGCTGTTGCACAGAGTTTTTACTGGACTTTCACTAACGTGGAGCTTTTAACTGACTTTGACTTTATCTAGCATGGAGTTTTTACCTGAATTTAACTAACATGAAAGATGGTTCCAGGGGGGAAAAGAAGTTTTTTGGCTGCCTCACTTCTAAGAGCTGGGCTGCTGCTTTGTCCTCAGGGCACTCAAATGGATCTCTTTTTGCAGCGTTTTTTGTTATTCCTTCAGTAACTCTGGCTGTTAATTAACAGGAAGAAATGCATAAATTGATCGTTCGGGATTTTGGTTTTTAAAATTACGTTAAGGCGTTTCTGTAACCTGCGTTTAGACACACACAGAACCAAGTTGTGAAGGAGCCAGGCACAAGCAGGGATTTTTGGCATCAGTTTAGACAATAATGTCACGGGGACTTCCAAGGGTGTTGTTTGAAGTGAAAGGAATGGCTGGGCACAAGTGGTTTGAGTTTGGTGGGATTCCCAGTAGGGCCAGCGCAAGATCTCCAGGTGGGGAGATTTTTGGTTTTCAGTTCTACGTTAGTAACTCCACTTCCACAGCTGGAGGTTTTAATGAAACCTGCCCGAGGAGGATTGTCAGAACAAATTGCTTGGAATGGCAGGATTTAGGGTGGGTCCAGGGAATGAAGAAACAGATGATGGAAGGATCAAGGAGAAGAGCAGTTTATTAAACCCCAGAATATGATAGCAGAGGTACAAAAATTACACGACTGAGCATAATGGAGAATTAAAACAATCCAGATGTTGCCGACCAAGATGAGCAGTGGGAAGAAATACGTCATAAGGATTGAGGCAACGTGAGGACAGCCAGTCACTGTGGCTGTAAACATCATTTTAATAACTCCTACAGCCACTGCATGAAGGAACAGGTATGCTGTTTGCTTTTTTATTAGCTCTGGTGCCTTTAGAGATTATGTGCAACTCTCGAACTCCTTGATAAAGATGTGAAATTTGCTGTATTTTTATTCCCTTGGGATTGATTTTGCCTCTTCAGGAGAAAGGTACTGCAGACTTGAACTCTGGGGATCATACCTTTATGGAAGCAGCAACATCAAACTGATAAATAAATTAGTTAACAGCAACAATGGTAATGCTGCTGGTTGTTCTTTGAAAAGATCAAAGGAATTCTCTGGAGTTCGGGTGCCTTCACGTGGCAGAAATCGTAATAATGTTGTGTGGAATCTGAAGTGGTGATAATGACTGTGGCAGAAATAAATAGGGATCATCTGTAAGTGGGAAATCCAAACTAAGTGTAGGAAAAAATTTGGGGAAAAAAAAAAAAAAGCAAACTTGAGGAAGTCCTGTGAGTTTCCTTGTTACCCTTGGCACCTGGCAGAATTAAATGACAAATGTTTGTAGCTGATTACTTGTGAGGGTTTTCTGATTATTTCTTGAATTGAGCTGTTGTCCAGCACATCAAATTGGGATGTGCTAAAGCTTGTTTATGGTGTATTTTATAGGAAGGACTAACAGGAGTTAGTTTTCTGCCAAAACAGCGTCCTTTTGGCAAATCAAAAGGAAAGCACTGATGGCACCAAGGTTTTACCTTCTGGAAGTTTTTGTCAGTTTGTACATTGGATGCCTGTGGAATGTGAGGAAAAATAGCCACACATAAGGGCTGAAATATGTAGTTTGGGAGATTTAATTGGTGAAATCAAATTGGTGATTGAATCAGAATTTTAATTGGGCTTTTAGGTAATTGGTTGGGGCAGAAACTGCTGTTTATGAATGTCTAATAGGAGGGTCTAAAAAAAATGGAGCCAGAGAGGTGTGTAGCAGAAAGAGAAGAGATGATGGACAAGAGCTGGATTATGGGAAGTCTTTATTTCATATAAGAAAGTAGAGTTTTGTTGTGAGTGTGGACAACAATAAGAAATTGAGTGGTAATTTTGGGCTTATGTGTAGCTGTTTGGGGTTATGAGTTTTTTTTGGTTGTCTTTCTTTTAAGAGATAATAACGCTTAATGTTACGTGACACAAGACACTGATGCCTCTGATGCAACAATAAACACCCTCCCAGAAATATTAAAGATTATTTCCAGTGAGGAGGGGGTCAAACAGCAAGATTTTTCCAAGGAAAAATTCCTGTGTCCCAGGGTTTAAATACGTGTACACAGAATGGGTTTGTGGCCTGGCACAAATT